GTAATGCTTGCACACCTTCCCTGTGACAGGGAAGCATAAAAAGCTGCCTCTCTGGGCTGTGACCACTCTGGTAGGACTCGTTTGTCATCTCTTGAGCACATTTAACCACTGTCAATGCTTTGTGCTGGGTTGAAGTAACCCATTTGCTGCTCTGGTTTGGAGCCCTGTGCAGATGTCCTGCCCACAATCTGATGGCCCCAATGCTGAAGGACAAGACGATGACCTCTTTGGTAGGTCTTGACAGCTTTGCACCAGGCCAGGGGATGTGTTCCTTCGGGATTCTGGGGCCACCATCCTCAGGACAAGCTGGCACGATGGAAAGGGCATGTACCCAAGTCGCTGTAGGCAGGGGCTTTGTCTGTTGCTCCTGGATGCAGTGCAAGTGACCATCAGCGGTCCCCAGAGTCTGCTGCACAGACAGCTCGTTCAGAGATGTCGATGGTCATCTCTACCCAGCATGGGAACTGCCAGCCCTGGGAGCGCCACACTGTCAACCCTTGCCATGGCTGACCTCTGCCCAGTGCTGGACATGCCAGCAGTGTCAGCGTTGACTGTGGCATCACCTTCTGGCCTGGGAGGGACATGGCATGGATAGCCCAGCAGAGCTGCTTGATCCCTGAAAGGGCCCAGCTGAGGGCAGGTGGTGTCATTCCAAAAGAGGGACTCGAGGCAAGAAGACACTGTTGATGGTCTGGAGGGAAACCTGGACCACAGCCCATCCCCTCCGACCTGCTGCAGGATGAGTGTTGTCAGGAGGCTTTGGTTCTTTATGGATCTCTTCTGTGTTGGGTCACCTCTCCACATCTGAGTAGAAGGGAGGCTTCTCCCCCACCAGCAGTCTCAGCAGGCAGACAAGTACTATCTCTTTCCTTTGGTGTCCAGGAGCTGGGCCCAGTGCTTTGGGCAGTGAGAGACTTCAGGAAGTATTAAATAGCTGCTGGATGTGTCACCACAGCACTTGATCCAGGGCAGTGAGTCACAGTGAGCCTGCCAGCATGAAAGGTGGTGGCATGAGGCCACCCCTCCCCTCCCTGCTTGATGTTTTCTTATGTATTGGTTTATTTTTTATTTCTGTGCCTGGGATGAGCATCCCCCTGGCATTGGGTGGGAGAGGAACAAGAAGGTCAAGGTCAAAGTAGGAATAAAATGACTGACAGTACCCCAGCATTTTCCTGGAGTGTATCCAAAGAAATGCAGAGCTGCTATTCCCCACGGACACCTTGGTGCTTCACAGATAGGCTCATCACAGCCTGCAACAAGTACAAATACATCTTTATTAACTATGAGTCTCTATGACTCTACCCCCAGCCCAAACCCTGACCCAAAAGGCTGGTCTTCTCAATTCTTTTCAGTTTTAATTACACTTTCTGGGAAGCTCTTCCCGTGGCCCTGCTCTCCTGCCAGGGGATGGACATAGTTAGGGAGGTGAGCGAACCCACAGAAATGTGTGAAACCCTAGTGCTGGCGGGATGCTCATCTCAAAACCTTTATGCTGGTCCCAGATGGTCCTTGTTAGGAGCTCTGGTAGAGGTCTTTGGGACACTTTGGGATTTGGGTTGCAGGATAGCCTTGCTGTTAAGTGCAATATGGGTGGGTTTTTTCTGAACCAGATTTTTTTTATTCCTGTGTGTGGCAAAATGTGGTAGAAAGGCTCTTGCAAAGTGCTTGCAGTCCTTGGCTGGAAGGTGCTGTCTCAGCTTCTGAGGGACCCTGTGGGGGACACGGCAGGGGTCCCTGCAAATCAGTGTTGGGAGGGTGAGTGCACATGTATTATTTCAGGTCCAGGGAGATCACCAAGCCCTGGCAAGTCCCAGCAGCCAATCAGGGTGGCAGTTTGCAGGAGCAGAATGTTCATCCTCCTGCACATGCAGAAATGCTGCTTCATCTCCTCTTCCTTTAGCCTGACAGTTTCAGAGAGGCTGGAGACAACAGTAAACAAAATAAAGCTGCAAGATCTAAGATTTTTAATTTTAAATTTTTATTTTTTTTTTTTGGTTTCGGCATTTGAAATTCCGACTCTCAGGAAATCTGTTGAAGTCATAGTATGAATCATCCCTACTCTCAATTTTAGGATGTATTGTATGAGGACGGGAGCAGAAAATTAGTCATTTTTTTAATCTGCCTCTGATAAAAATTGTTTACAAATCCACAGTGGTGGAATGGTGGGGAAAAGAATAAAATGAGTGGCCATCATGTGGCCCGGCACCTGCAGCCACCTGCTTGCTTCCCTGGTGCTGTTTTGGTGCAGCAGCAGGGCCTGGCAGCTGCCTGCACTTCTGGCTTGTAATCAAAGTGACCTCCTAGGGCAAATACAAACAGGCAGCTGGAAATCTGCCTCCCTCCAGAAGCTTCTCTTCCCCAAGAAAAGCAGTTCTTGCTCAAGGAAAAACCCATTTTTTCTGTTACCTGGTGGTGTAACTGTTAATGCAGGTGGTTGGCAGCAAAGCTCGAGAAGAGGAGGGTCGTATTTGCAAGTGGAGCAATGAGACTGTCCCCCAGCTGTTGGGTTTTTTTGACTGATGGTAAAGAGCTGTGTGGACTACAGCAGAGGTGATGCTGGGGGTGAGGTGAAGGCTTTTAGGTTTATTGCCTGGTGGGTTTTTCTGAACTAGGGTGATACTGGCATAGTAGGATATTGGGAATGAGATGCTGTGTTAAGGTTGTGATGTCCCTTCCAAGCAGGAACTGGAGGGTGCAAGGAGCACTGGAGGTTTACCTCAGATGAGGATGAACCTTCGTCTTGTCGGCCTCCCTGTGAGCCCAGAGCTTTGGAGGAACAGGACAGCCAGGCTGGTTTTGGGTGGGAGCTGATCCTCCCTTGGGAAGGCAGGAGGGAGCAGCCCCTAGCTCTGTTTAGCACCCTCTTCAGGGAGACAGATAACATCCTGTATCTGGCAGCGAGCTGGGCACAATGACTCCCAAATACCCCAGTTGTTACAGTAAGTGATCAGTTAGTTAACAGGGACACCCTGTGCTTGCAAAGATCTAAGGAAACAATAAAATCGACTGGGTTTTGGGGTGCTGGGGAATGTGAGAGGGAGAGATGCAGCGAGGACAATGCCCTTGCTGCTTTTTTGTGGGGGTTTCTCTCACATGAGGAGAAAAGCTGGCTGCCACCGCTCCCAGCTTTTTGGCAGTGGTGTGCCACGTGCTGGCTGCTGGTAAATGATTGCCCGGGAGCGCCAGCCAAGGCGGGGCCAGAGGTTGGTGCGGGGTTTGAACCCAGACGGTGCCTGGGACCCGTGTGCCGGCAGCCATCCTACTTCCACAGCCCGCAGTGTTCGGCAGCCACTGGATTTCTCGGGCAAGGTGAGACTGTGTGGCGTGACTCAACAAGCCGGGTTATTTTTCTTATTTATTTTTACACTCCTGGCCTCCTTACCGGGTCATGGCACAGGAGGTGGGATTTGATACTAGCTGGGTCCCTGGCAGGGGGATAATGCTCCCCGGGATGTGTTGCCACTCCGATTTTGGCATTAGGGTACTGCTGAGGGGGAGGCTGGGGTGTGTCTGTTAGTGTACAACAGTGGTTTCAGGGTGAGCTGGGTGGTGCCACAGTGGCACCTGGACTTTGCTCCATGCCAGGGGACGGTTGCGGCTGTGAATACGCAGAATAGGGGGAGCAGTGCCAAAACTCAGCTTTAAAATTAAATTGGGTCAAATCTTGTAAATTTTGGTCGTTTTGGGCTCTCAGGGAGGTCAGTTGAACCCAATGTGCCCTTCATCCCCACCGGTTTTCCCCGGTCGCTCAGCCAAGGCAAACATGAGCTCAGCGCTGAGGTATTTGCACTGCTCTGTGCCCATGTTTCGGAGGTGGGCAGGGAGGTGACACCAACAGGACCCGGCACCTGCACGGAACAGCCTCACCAAGACATGTCTTCCCTATTTCCTCCTCACCTTTCTCACACCATGACTAAAATTCTTTGTCACTGGAGATAGGACCCATCAAGCCCCCGCCTTTGATTACTCAAGTAGGCAACAAAAATAATGAAGGAATGTTTAACCTGAGTTCAAGCTTTCTCACAGCCTGGCTGCAAACTTGGGACAGCTGGAGCACAGGATGGAGGGGCTGCAACCACATGGGTGAGGTTGTGAAAGCAGTTTGTGACTCTCAGGACAGAGGGCCTGGGAGTTTCCTGTCTATGTTCCTCCATGCAGGGCCTTCAGACAAGACTGACACTACTAAAAACAGTATTGTAACAAGGAAAATAGATATATCTTTGCACAGTGTTTGAAAACAGCATAAGCTCAAATATTTGAATTCTTTACAGCTTGTGCTTAATTTTTTCTTATTTATGACCATTGCAGTTGTTGAGCTGCTGGAAGAGGCAGGAGTTGGGTGAGCCCAGGCTAACAGGTGTTGTTTTAAGCTAGAAGTAGCTGATGGGTTAGAGTTGAGTCAGATCCCAGTGTTGGTCAGAGCCTGGGCTTCATCATGGGTGTTTATGCCTGGATCCCTCTCCCAAACCTGACTTTTGGTCATGTTTTTATGCAGAAAGAGGTATTATTTTAATTTCTTAATCCCTCTCTGATAAATTGAGATGGATATAAATAGATTAAAATATGCATTATCTGCACCTTCCCTCAAAATTCCATTGTAAAAGCAGGCAGCCAGTGGTTTCTCTGCCTTTTCCAATGTTTTTTGGAAAATCCTCCTGTGACATGCTATCAGATTGTCAGAGAAATTGCAGTGAAAGTCTAGCAAACCCATTAAAAGTCTGTGCTCACAGCAGAAATTACCTGGGCATCCTCTGGACACGATGCAGTTGCACAAACACCATTTCTTCCCATCACAGACATGAGGGAAAAAAATTATTTTTCTTTGCAGATGAATATCAGTGTTTAATAACATCAACAAAAATGCAATCTGTGCAGGGCAGCAGCAAGCCTTGGTCTAAGATTCACCCATGGGATGATGATTTAATGAGACTGCTTTTCAAGTGTCTTGTATTCCTTGTTAGTGGCTTGGGATGGAAACCTGGTTTCTTTTCTCCCCACAGGCAGCCTGTCCTGCAATGACCCAGTGCACCTGAGGCCCAGCAGTCGTGGGGATGGAGCTGAAGGTCTGGGTGGATGGGATCCAGAGGGTTGTGTGCGGTGTCTCAGAGCAAACTACCTGCCAAGAAGTGGTCATTGCCCTGGCACGGGCCATCGGTGAGCCATCTCCATCTGCTGGGGGGATGCCCCATTTGCAGGAGCTTCCTGGGAAGGGGAGACTTTGGGTGGGTGGGGGTCCTGCTCTGCAGCTGTGGGGATGCCACCAGCTGCTGCCGGTGGGGCAGCAGCCTCAGCACACCAGTGCCGGCCACTGCTTTCCCTAAATGATATGCTCACCTCCTGGCAGGTCAGACAGGCCGCTATGTGCTGGTGCAGAAGCTGCGGGAGAAGGAGCGGCAGCTGCTGCCGCTGGAGTGCCCCCTGGAGTCCCTGGCCAAGTGTGGACAGTATGCCAACGACGTGCAGTTCATCCTGCGGCGGACAGGCCCCAGCATGACCGAGCGGCCCTCCTCAGAGGGTGCTCCGCAAGCTCCCGAGAGGACGTTCATCCGGGCCAGTTTGCCCATCAAGCCCAGGTTCACCAGCATGGATGCACCCCGTTCTCGGGAGCCGAAAAAATCCATGACCTTCAACTTGGGTCCTACAGGCTCCAGCGACCCGTTCGCTGTGAGCCGATGGAGGCACCAAACACGGGAAGGGATCGACTTGGAGGGTGGTGGGATTGTCCAACCCTCCAAAGAGGAGCTGTTTAGGAGGGTGCTGCAGCAGCAGGAGCAGCTGCATTCCTTGGAGGCCCATGGGGACACCCTGGAAATGGACCTACGGCTCTGGGAGCGCAGCCGGCTTGCCGGCCAGGAGAATGAGATCCTCTATCTGGAGCAACTGGTACGAAGGAATGAGACAGAGCTGGGTGAGGAGGAATTTTGGCAGAGCGAGCTCCGGCTGGAAAAGGAGTGTGAGCGAGAGCGGCAGGAGCGGGTTAGAAGCCTGCGGGCCAGCCTGGAGGAGTACACCCAGAGGATCTTTGAGCTGAGTGCCCGGACTGAAGCCCTGCAGGAGGAGATCCAGTGGGAGATGGCTGAGAGGGCCAAGAGGGGGAAGGAGATCTCTCTGCCCAGCCCCATAGAGCTGGAGGACATGGCCACCAAAATGAAAAGGGACCTGGAGGCCAAGGTCAAGCAAGGCACCCAGCTGGAGAGCAACCTGGCCAGTGTGGAGAAGGCCCTGGAGGAAGCTGAAAAGAACTTGCAGGTAGATAGGACTGGGTTGAGCCACCCCATGGGGTAGTGGGACTTTTGGGGAGGGTATGGGACCAGCTTTCCAGCCCCATGGACCAGTGGGTTGAGGGGGGTTAGTTACCCTACCTGGGCAGTGAACGTGGCACTGAGTGCCACTCTGACCCGGCTGGCACAGGGCACACGCCCATCGGTCTGCATGCAAGCTGCATCTGGGCTAGGGCTCCTGCTGATTAGTGCCCTGGGAGCACAGCATCACCCTGCTCCAGCACAGACAACGGTGCTGGAGAGCAAATGGTCCACATGTGGGGTTGGTGGCACTGGCACAAGGGTCGATGAAGGAGTCACAGAGGGCATAGCATAGGTCCTCATAGTGCCTGTGCACAAAGTCTTTTGACCATGCAAGATGTGCAGGGGCTCAGGCTCATGGCAGGGGGCTGCACAGTGTGGAGATGGCAGCTCGGGCTGAGCTGTGATGCCCCCCCAGCTCACCTGTTGCAGCCCCCCAACATCAGGGGGTCAAGGGGCTGCATGACTCCTGCCTTCCGCCCACTGGGTCCCCTTCGGTGGAGCAAAAGCAAAAAGCTTTCACCCAGCCAGGTAGCTGCCCTTCCCCAGCTGGCCATGCTTCCAGCATCTTGCCTTAAGCATCTCATTTGTGCTCGGCATCTCCCAGCACAGCAGCGGCTGCCATTTGCCGGCTGCTCGCACCCTCTTGTGGAGATGCAGCAAACCAGGGCTGTTCCCAAAACAATGCCTTCTCATCGCCACTGCCTGAGCACCCTCCTTCCTGCAGACCCTCGGAGAGGGGCAGCTGAGCCACAATACTCCTGAGGTCCCCTCCACTGACTTTGGCAGAGTGAGCCCCAACTGTGGGAGCAGCCCCAGGGGTTATATCCCCAGGTTGTGGCCTGGGGACGTAAGGGGAACATGCAGCTCATCCTGTTCCCTCCCTCGGTGTGTGTTTTGCAGGCCCAGACCCAAGAGCTGGAGGAGTTAAATAAGGAGCTGAGGCAGTGTAATTTGCAGCAGTTTATTCAGCAGACGGGGGCCACGGTGACTGTCCTGCAGGCCAGGTCTGAGGAGGATGCCCAGCCGGAGCCGAGCCTGTGCGAGCTGCCAGCCTACCGGAGAAACGGAGGTCAGCATGCTGCCGCTGGCTCGGCCACAGGGGCTGCTCTGCGGTCCCCTGCCTGCTCCCTGCCTCCTTCTCCAAGGCATCAGTCCCAAAGCTGGCTGGTTCTGCCCTGGGCACTGAGGTTAGGCAGCAGGGATGGGGTTTGGTGCTGACACGACAGTCGCTCACCACTCCAGTGGGTCTCTGAGCTTTGCCACCCCTGGGGTTCCTTCCTCGCCCCCATTGAAGCCTGGGGGCTGCTCGTAGACATGCTCAGAATTCAGATCCTGCAGTGCTGCTTTAGGGGCTGAGGTGGCTGCAGGGAGCTTTCCTTCCCAGCCTTGCTGCATGTCACCGCAGCAGCTGTAGCAAAAAGCAGGTGGCTAAGGGCCAGCATCAGTCCCCAGGGGCTGTGGGCTGGTGGGGACAGGCTCTGGTCACCAATGACCTCTTTGTGTTTGGCAGGGGAAGGGTGAGTGTGGTGCCCAGGGCCATGTCTGCATCCTTGCAGGGACAAGAGGAGGTGGGGGGGCTCTCACAGAAGGGGACCTGGTGGTTTCTCCTCCAGAGCACCTGGAGTGGGTGATGTGACTGCCCTGCAGCACTGCGGCAGCTGTGCCCAGAAAGCAAAGCACAGGCAAGCCCTGCCTAAGCCAGGTGTATTTCCCTGTCCTGTAGGTTTTCCTCCCACCGCTGGTACCGACTCGCCTCCTCGAGTCAGCACCAAGCAGCTCCTCAGCCATCCCAGGACCCTGCCAGAGCCCCTGGTGTCCAGCCTGAATCCTGAGGGTGCGTATGTCCCGTTGGGGCCCTGGGAGCATGAGCCAGTCTGCAGAGGATGGGTGGGAAGAGGGGAGAGGCTTTTGCTGCCCAAAATGGGCTGCAGAGAGCAAGCGTGTGCTGGTAGTGGGAGGCCGGAGCTATTTATAGATGCCATTAGGAAGCACAAAGCTCACACTCCAGCAGTCTCTGCTCTGCTGCCAGAGGCTCATATGCTGGTAGTCCAGCTCTCTGCCCTGCTGGGAGCTGCAGAGGATGGTCCTCACCCCCTCTCCTGCCACTCTGGGCTAAGACCTTGCTGTGATTAGGGTGGGGAGAATTTGTATCCCATCTTTTACAGGAGCTACTGTTGCTCCATCTTAGCAACCAGTTCACCCCAGACCCCTTTCTACCTCCTGTTACTCTTTTTTCACCTTGCACCTGTTTTTGAGTGCAGCAAAAGTGAGCTCTGGTGTCCTTGCCTGCCATGGCGATGCTGCCTCCATCCTGGCATCCCCTTTCCACCCACACCACCATTGCCTCAGCAAAACCCTACTGCCGTCCTCCTCACTGCCCAATACATCCACCCCCATCTTGCCAGATGCTGCAGCATCTGCATGTCCATCTCCCCGGTTCTGCGCTCAGGTACATCCTCATTTCTGCTCCCCTTTTTGTGAGCACTTGCCCACCATGGTGGGATTGCTCAAGTGGTTTTTTTCTCTTGTCTTGCAGTTGTATCAACCAGGCAGAGCATCTGGAGGTAGAAGGGCCCAGGCAGTGGAGGATCAATTGCCTTGCAAGTGTAACTGTATAAATAAACCATATTATATATATATATTTTATAATTTTTTTTTACTGCTTTATATCGTGAATGGATGTGGACGGCCAGACAGAGTATTTTTACAGACTACAAAATAAAACCAGAGACTGACGACACAAAGCAACCATCTTCCCCTGCGGATGAAAGTGACCCCCTTCTACTTTTTTTAAAGCAGTTTCTATATTCAACAGAAAACAGCGGTGCTCCCATTCTGCATAGCCTCCTCAAAAGATCCATCGTACATTTGGAAAAGTCCTTGTTCCTTTGACTAAGGGTTTAGAGCTGCAGTGGAGACCTGCCTGGAGACTCACCTGGATGGAGCAAGTTAACAGATTTTACAGCATCTGGTCGCAGCAAGCAGGGCCATGACAAATAGCCTCTTCGCTGGCTGCAGAGGAGGCACAAGAGCAGCTTTAAGACAAATTTCTGGCCCCTCTTTTCTTATATATATTATAAGAAACCTGTAGTAGAAGCCCATTTTCCATGGTGCCATGGACCACACTTGAAGGGAGCAATGGAGCACAGAGCAGGAGCTTGTTTTTCTCATATCCACTTAGTTTTTCAACTTGTTTTTAAAATAAAAAATTGCAGAATGAGCCCTTCCTCAGTGGTGATGTGAGTGGGGAGCAGGACCAAAACGTTCTTGGTGACATTTCCCCTGGGGGTTTTTTTGATTCTTTTTTCTGTTTGTTTTTTTTAACTCTTGATGGCCAGTAGCTACTGTTTTGTTCATCTGTCCTCTGTCCCAGTGGGTTGCCTTGTATTTTAATTGCAAAACCAAAGCGGTTTGGGGAGGGAATGAGTTTGTCCAGATCCTCAAGCCTGTTTTCAACGCGTCATATGCAAAAAACATGACTTGGGCACAGCGTTCACCGTAAAATCCTGCTTTCCCTGTGCGAATGTAATCCTGTGTGCTGCAGATCCAGTTTTCAATAAATCTTTGGGAAAGGATTTGAGCCAAGTGAGCGTGCTGTTGTGGGCAGGGTGAGCCATCTCTGACAGCTCCTGGTCTGGTGCCTGACGGACACATCTGAGCTGTTTGTGCACCCTGCAGCTGCCTCTTTCGTTTCCAAGCCATCTCTTTCTATTTGCTGAATTAAAGCTGTAAGTATTTTATAACCGACTGAATCTTATGCACGCAGTGCTCTTTTTTCTTTTTTTTTTTCTTTTTTTTTAAAATCACAAAGTGCTTTACAGCCGGCGGATGCAGCTTGTCTCCGGTGAGATGTGGCCATCTCTGGGATGAAACATGACAACCTTTTAATAATGCACAGCAGCAGCTCGGAGCATTTTAGGACAGGAGGCAAAGGGGATGGCGGTTGTCTGCAGATAGGAGCAGGTAAGGGGAAACCTCCCGTTTGCCTTCAAGCCCCTTTGTCTGCACCTGGATAACAGCAGCCAAGAACGTCAGCTCTTGCTGTCCATCAGCATCTCCCCTGAGACTGCTGGGCTCTGTCCCCAGGGACATGCCCCTCTCAAAGCCAGTTTTCAAGGTGCTACCACAGCCACCCGGTTGGTCAAGTGATATTGAAGGATTAAAGTTTGTTTTGTTGGGAGATCACTGGTCTCAGGTTACCACTGGACAGCTGCTGCAGTGAGGAAATGCAATTTTGAAGTTGTCTTTTTTGAATTGGGGCTTTTGGGGTTTTTTTGTGGGGGTTCTTTTTCAAGTTCCTCCTCACCCCCCTCCTTAAACCATGTATCTCAGGGAAATTAGTTAAAAATGCATTTGCTCCATGCAGCTGCATCTAGTTTCTCCCATTTGCCTGTTTTTTGGACTTTGTGCACTCATTTTTTTGGACTCTCTTGCTTTTTAAAAAGATTCCACCTCGCTAAGAGAAGTGGAGGGTGATGGAGGTTGTAAAGAGCATTTCAGTGCTGCTTGGGAAAAACATCCAAGAAGTGGGTTCAGAAAACTCACTTGCGTTGGATATGGCTAGATTTTGGAAAGTCCTCTGCGTGCCCTGAAAAACTGACCTCTGCAGGTTAAAAAATGGATCTTTCATTTTTGGGGCTACATTTGTAGCTTTGCCTTCAGCAAAATAAATGGTAATCAAGAGAAAAGGGTCATCACTTATGGCACTTCCTATTGGAAAAAACGGGGGCAGAAAATTAATTTGAATCTGATTTTGTGGGGGATTTTGCCCTCTGTTATGATTATATATTATTTATTGTTGTTGCGGGTTACTTCTGTTCAGTCGTGATCTCACAGGTCAAACCAGCACCAGTCTTTCCTGGAGGGAGGTGTGGTAGGGTGTGGAAAATGAAAGTCTAAAATATATATCTCACAGCAGATTTTGGCCCCTCAGCTGATGCCCCTTGGCTGGGATGCAGGATTTGGAACTGTTGCATGGGATGGGAGACAGTGTAACTCGACCGTGTCCCCCGCAGAGGTCTGATAATCAGGCAGGGGCCTAGAAGGAGTACTGTAGCCAGGGGTTAACTCTTGTTTTTTCAGCTCAAGACTGTGGCACTTTGCAGATTTTCTTCATTTTGTGTCCTACAAACCATCGCCCAGCTGCTGCCTAGGCAGCAGTGTTTTGTAAGGCAATAAATTACTTTGATTAACACCTCTGTCCCTGCTGTGGTACACGTGGCGGTGGGGGGGAGAGGCGTTAATCAAACCCACACGTTACCTCAGGAGCTCCCCAGCCGTGGGTGACCTATATTCCTCCCGGCACGGGGGGCCTGCGATGGCAGGGCGAACGTGCGGGTCCCCGCGTGTTATTTAACTGAGGGAGGCTCAATACCCACTCTGGCTCCCCCGCCCTCCCGCTTTTATCTGCTCTAAAGCCTGTGTCAATAATACATTTCTGCCATTGAATATTTTATTGATGGTTTGACTTTTTTTGCTGCTCGCAATTCCCATTTCAAGGCTGCGTGATTGTTCCTAATTAAAATTTTATGCCCTGGGACAAGCCTTCTTGCTACACTGGAGATGATGCTGTCCTTTTCTAGGCCACTACAGAGCAGTAGGAAGGAATTACCCATTGTTATGAGATTAAAACAAAGCAAATAAATTATTGTTTTTTCCCTTGAAAAACAAACCAAAAGCCCAGTGTACGATGCGTACTGGAGAGGGAACAACTGGCTTGCGGGCAAGGCAGGGATCTAAGCGTAGGGGGTGGCTCGAGGATGCTGTGCCTGGCTGAGCAAGGACTTGTGTCCCCATGTCCCTCAGGCATTGTGGGCAGCTTCTTCCTTCCCTGTAGTGGGCGGGAATGGGCTTCAGAGCTTCTCTCTCCTCAGATGTTACTCACTACTGGCTCCAGTGCCACCCAAAAATCACAAAGCACAGTGACCTGTTTGTCACTGGTCATCAGCCCTGGCTTTTTGATGCCTTTTTTTTTCTTTTTTTTAAAATAAATCTGCAGGCTCTGTCAGCACAAGACATCATTCAGGAGAGTAATTCAGCCACCTCCAGCCTCCCTGGCGCTCTTTTCCTCACTGCACTACATGATTTTTAATTTTTTTTTAATATGGCAATAGAAAAATTGCCCCCATCTCCTCACCCATCTACTCTGGACTGTCAGCTCTTTAGGCCAGGCATCCTGTGCAGATGGTCTGGGTGCCAGCACTGCCCCAGGCCAGTACAGTTTCTCAAGACACTTACACCACCCCCAGTTCACAGTCACAGATTTGTACGAGTTCCTCAGTGTTTGGGTTTGGATTTTTTTCCCCTAAATTTCATCTAGAGTGGTAGAAGCACTTGTGCTGCCTCCCAGCCCCTGAATTTGGCAAGCAGCTTTTAAAGCACACACTTCAGTTCCAGTTACATAAGGAAAGGTGTGAATATCTGGAGGAGAAAATGCCTGTTGGCTTTGCTCCCCAAGTGGTGTCCAGATGCTCTGCTGCTCCTGGGTGCACAGCTTCTACCAAGGTAGTTCACTGCAGATGGAGAAGAGCTGCTTGAACTGGCGTGCGTGTCCATGCAGGGAGCATTGTCTGCTCTCCTATGATGATTTTTCTTACTGTCTCAGAGTACAGACTGAGTGCATTCTAACTTGCCCTGGAAAAAAAAAATAAAAATCATAAAGCACTAGAGGATGCTGGGAAATTTTCTTGTTTATGGATGAGCAAGTTTCTCTCCCAATGGAACCTCCTGCCAGCAGAAATCTTTTTTTTTTTTGGGGGGGGGATGTATTATATAAGTCTCTGCTTGCATTTAACTAACTGACTTCCTCTTAAACAATTTATGTACTCCTTCTATTCCTCAGAGGCCAGCCTGCTCCTTCGGTGAGGCTCACCACGTAGGGCCTGCCAGTGGGCCACGTTACAGACAGAACACGACAGGCACTTCTCGGTGTGATGCTTGGAGGGCTAGGCCTGCTTGTTTCCCTCCATGAGCTGCTGAAATGAGAACAAAAATCTTTAAGGAGAACAGAGAGTCCCTTCAGCTCAGTGGGCCTGATATTCAGCATCTTCCCTCCTGTAAGGCACAGCTCTGCCCCTCACCAAAAAGCTAACAGCTATCAGTTTTGAGGGAGAGCACGCAATTACTCTTGTTACCAAGCTAAGTATCACCAGTTTATTAGCTACTGAAAAACATGAAATTAAGGGGCATCACAGTCCTAGTGTATCTTCTCATCATTCAGGAGCACTCAGCAGCTCTTGGGCTGGGGCAGGAGGGAAGGCACTGATGCCAGGCTTTCTGCTTGAGGGACGACCATGTCACAACCTTCTGCTCTCCTTTTCAAGCCACCTTCCCCGGCTACAGAGGCAAAATAAGAGATGGGAGGCACAGGGCATGCAGCGCACATCAGACACATCACTGAGAAGGCAGAGCTTTCCTCTTCAGCTGGTCCGGCACCCTGGATTACAGTAATCAGCACCCAAACACTGGTTTTGCACTATTTATTGAAGACTTCAGGTGACAGCACAGCAGGTTAGTTTTGAATCACGCCCCAAGAATGTTAAAAACAGGAATTGAGCTGTATGCTCCCCCCGCTTACTGGAGACACACAAAAAAACAGCAAAAACAAACAAGCAAACTTCTTTTCAACCCCTTCCCTTTGCTTACTGGAGCTGAACAGGATGGTTCCATAGGTAGCAGGAAGTTGGAAGCATTCATACCACAGTGCTGCTCACGGGAACTGGGACAAGTCTTGCCAGGTGACCCGCAGAGCTGCTTCTGCTAGTGGCATCTCCAGGGGTTAGTCATCAGACAGCACAGTCCCAAACACAGGGTTATTTCTTCAGAGAGAAACAGCACCTTCATTTTCAGATGCAGGTTTGTTACATGCGCAGTAACCTATAAAATGGGGTGGTAGGGGACTGGGCTTCTGTTTCAGCTCTCAAACACAATTGTACACATGTGGACTTTGCACCAGGTTTCCCTCTCTCCCTAGTCTCCGCGTGGCTACACTGTGCTCCTGCCTGCTCGGGACTGGCAGTGGGAAGATGCTGTAGGTGCAGCTGGGGAGGAAAAAAGCATTCCAGGCCTGAGACAGCTGCGAACTTGCCTGCCCTCCCCACCCCCTCCTCTGCCCCCATCAAAAAAAAAGGCCCACTTGCCTTCTGAACAAGCATGAAAGCAGCTTTAGTAAATTCAGTTGATTTTCCTGACTCTCCAGCGTCTTTGAGCACCCCAGACTCACTCAGTCTGCACAGGGAACAGAGGGAGCTGACTTTTCTTGCGGAAGAGCAGGCGCTCCTCTGGGATTCAGAGGGAGAAATGACAAATAAGAACAGGTAGGAGAGATGGGGACAGGCAAAATTTCTCAGTGAGAGACTTTACCCATGCAGCGGACATTGCTCTGCCTTCTGTGCAATTAACTACTTACTGACCAGAGCACTGCCAATTCCTTTAGATCAAGCTTTTACAGCGGTGCAGGGCTACATGGGAGCAGCTCAAGGAAGAGGAAGAATACCCGAGTCCTTTCAGGGAACCTTGGCAGGCTGCGGTGAATCCTAGCTTATTATTAGGAACTTGAGCTGACAATAAAGCTGTG